TACTGTATGTATCGGTAGTTTTAAAGAATTTAAAAATCCACGTGAGAATTTGCAACATTAAAATATAAAAATTATAAAACATTAAGGGTGAACAATGTTTAAGGCGCCCTTTTTGGTACCATTTTATGAAAATTTCTTATGGTGCTTCGATTGTACTGTACAGTCCACCCGTGCACAATTTGTGAGAGAGAGACGCAGACTATTCTATTTGGTCTTATAGACGACTAGATGTCTGGTATTGCCTAAGCCTGGTTAGCAACGCCGGTGCCTCTAGGTCCGGTGGTTGTACGAGGCTCACCCCAGGACTGGGATGCTCTCTTGGTATTTTTGTTAGTACCCGTAAGCATAATAGCAATCGCGTTCCTTGCTCTTGAGATTCAGGACGTCGGCTTTCTCGCTTCCCCAGTGCTTGAAGTTGTCTCGTGGCTGTCGCCCAAAACTCCTGGCTACTTGCTTCCTCGGTGGTCTGATCTTGTTGGAAGACCACTCTGTTTCTCTGTATCCATAAGCTTGTGAGACAAATGCTACAGAGTATCTCCCATATTCTCAACCAGATGGCCGTAGTCTCCTTCGCCGCATCTGGAAATTGTAGCCACAATTGCTTCTGGACGTGTTGTGATATCTGCGGTGCCTTGCGGCTAGCGCATTGCGTCTGAAACCTCTCAATATTACCTGGTTGCCAGCATTCCCCTGTCCAATGCTGCAGGAGCTTGCTCCAGCAGGCTTGTGCGCACGGACACTCCCAGAAGATATGTTTTATTGTCTCCTTTGTCCCTTGACATGCTTGTAGCTTTGGCCAACTGCTGTCTTGACGACGGCCTTCAAGATACAAGTTAAGCTGCCGGACTGCTACACGATATTTCACCCGTACCTGGTATTCAGTGAGCTGATGTTTGTGGGACCATACTTGCGTCGGCGTTTGCTGCATTGCTGCCTTTTGCCACCCGCTCGTTGCTACTATTTCTCGGAGGCGCTGTACGTGCCCTCGTAGTTAGCCAGTGTCTCCTCTGTACTTCTTGAAGGGTTGCATTTTCAACACTGCCAGTACATGTTTGTTTGCGACGCTGGGTTTAACAGTCCATGGAAAACTGTGAATCCTAGGGTGCGCGAAGAAGACTAAACAACCAGTCTCTCCTAATCGTTTTAGCTCTCTCCATTCCTTCTGTGGCTGGGTCTCCGCTGGACTCGATGTTACTGGTATCCATGTTATGCCATTGGGCATCTGCTCCAACGTGATTGTTGTTGTTTCGGCTTCTGTACCAGAAGCTCTCGATCCTCATGCTCTCCCGTCCTGCAAGCTATGCCAGATAAAGCCCTTCACGAGCGTGGGTGGATGCCGCAATGTGAGTTTGTTCGTCACCTGGAGTACTGCCCCAACTGCGATCGATGGCGCACTGAGTAGGATAGCTAGACCCCACCTGCGCAGCTTTGCTTGTTGATGTTTCGCTTCTCCCTCAACGGGAATTGAGAACTCGTAGGTATTGTCAGTGGTACGTGTGATATGTAGTGCTTCCACCGTGCAGCTTTGTATCCTGTCGAATTTTTTCGACTCAGGGTGTGACCTCTTTTGTCAAGAATCCACGGATTGGCATTCCAGATGAAGGCTGGCCAGAATATTGCTTCATCGGTTGTCATCGCTCGCCACGGTGTCTCCAGCTTGGTTGGTAACTCTATGATCCATCTCTCCGCTACCGTCCAACTTAATGGTTCCGCTTCCAGTCTATCGATGTTCTTCTGGTACGCCAGGATGGAGCCCGCTGTAAGTTCCTCCGCGGGCTGCATCCAACTACTGATTAGTTGCTGTATGCGCTCACCTGGTCTCCCTGTGGGTGTGCTAGTCTCTCGTGCTGTCACTTGGGTGGGTGAGATTACTTCACCCCACTCTTCGCTCGTTCCCCTGAATACTCACTCCTTCCAGGCGTACCAGTAGGTGTCCTTCCGCTGTACTAGCCACAGAATTGTCTGCCTTACGCGCTGAGTTTTGCATGCTATCGGGGTCGATACCAGACCCAATCCCCCCGCTTGCTTCGGTGTAAATACGAGTCCCGGGTTGAGTTTATGACGACTTTATCCGTTGCAGTACTATGTCTACACAAGAACTGCTTTTGGATATTCCGGATCTGGGCTTCAGCCCATAGGGGCATCTCGAATGCTGCCGCTGTGAACAGCACGGACGGCATCATGATGACGTTCAAGATCAACACTCGATGAGCCACACTAGTCGCTAACTTGGTAGCTGTGGCTAGTCGTCGTTGGATGTTACGGATACGAGTTGCCCAGTTCACGTCTGTTAAAGCTCCAGATCCTACTTGATAACGCAGGTACCGCACCGTGTCTCCATGCTTCAATACGAGTAGTCCGTTAAACTGAAGCATTTCCACCGCCTTGTTGAGGAATATAAGCTGACTTTTTGCTGGTTGAACTTGCAGGCCAGACAATTTGCCAAATTGTTCCACGATATGCATTACTCGGGGAATCTGTTGAGCTTGTTGTAGGAAGACTGTAGAGTCATCTACGAAGGCTGAGAATAGGTGCCGCTGCCTCCCTGTTCCTGGTACCTGAATACCTTCTAATGCTGGATCTTGCTGTATGGCCAGTGCTAGCACCTCCGCTGCTATAATAAAAAAGTAGAGGCGCTACTGGACATCCTTGGCGAATACCTGACACTACCGATTGAGCCCGCGATAGCTCTCCATTTACCTCGCTGAGGTTCCGTCGTGAAGCCGTCGTAGCAAATTAACGAAGTTTGTCGAGAATCCAAATCTGAGCCCGGCTAGAAAAAGAAATTCTCGACAAACTGTGTCATAAGCCTTCCGAAAGTCCAGCAGGAGAATGACCTTGCTTAGCCGTGCTGCTAGATCCGGTTCGCTCTTCGCTGTGGCAATAATAGCCAACATCATCATGATCGTCTTCATCATTTGACGGCCGTGCACGAAACCTTATTGGGAATCCCCAATAGGTTTCCCTAATACTGTTTGCATCCTGGCGGCTATGACTTTCATGAATACTTTGTATCCTGTCTGCAGCAAGGATATCGGTCGGAAGTCCATCGCGTCTGTTGAATCTCCTTTCTTTCGCAACGGGATGATGAGTCCTTCAAGGAATGAAGGAGGCGGCTCTGCACCTTTAAGCAATTCATTTCCTAGTCGGTACGAGTACCGGTTGGGCGTCTTTGAAGAAGTCATTGTTCAACCCATCCGGTCCCGCTGCCTTGTGTCTGTTGAGAGCTGTGACTGCCGTTAGCACCTCCTCCTCGGTTATCTCTGCTGTCAGGAATACATTTTGTTCTGGCGTCACTTGTCTCTCCGCGGGTATGTTCACAAAGGTATCAAACTCGCCTTGTAAATGGTCCAGCGGAACTTGACTGTGCACATGGCCAAGAGTTGGTTTCCATTCTGACCCAAATTTGTCCGCTACAACCCGTGCACAATTTGGCCGGGCAGGGGTTAATGGTAACTCCAAAATCGGTGAAGTTAATATTGTAAAAATATCACCTGTAGACCAGTTAATATAAAAAATATCACCTAATATTTTCTTCTGAGACAATATGATATTATTAAATATCAGCTTAATATTAGTTAATACGATAAGTTTTTTTTAAAAGATTGCGTAATTAGGCTAAATTCACCAATCAGATGTCGCTAACGCTCGACTAGCTGAAGTATTACTAATCAACCGTGAGGGAAGGACAATTGTGAGAGTGACGGCAAGGTTGGCGTCGTGTGTTGGCACTGCTCAGCGCATGAATCTACAGGCAGCAGGTTTATTATACGCACGATGTGGATAAGGAGATCGGTAGAGAACAAGAACAAATGTCTTGATTTCGCTCTATCAACGTTAAACAGCTGCAAGCGTTTGCAGTTTTCCGCCTTTGTCTGTGTCACAGTGAAATACTAGTGCAAATACTCGTCAGTCTTAAAACCTACTGCTTTTCTAGAACCTGATCGAAAAAGTTATTTGGCTCCGCTCGGTTCACAGAGGGTAAGGTGGCAAGAAACGTACTTAAGTGGGAAAATATCATAAAATATCATGTAGTATCTAATATTTTTCAGTTCTCCGAGCTAATATTAAAATATTATGTTAAATTTTGCAAAAATGAAGTACTATTTATATTTAATATCAAAAATAGTACTATTATTATCAAAAATATCATATGATATTTGGTTACCATTCTTAATAGCCCCTGCTTGGGGGTGATTCGTAAACTACATGTACGGTCGCCGAAAGCTTACGCAAGCATGTTGTGTCCACTGTGGACGCAACAGGCATACTGTACATGTACAGAAGTACTATTTATATTTAATATCAAAAATAGTACTATTATTATCAAAAATATCATATGATATTTGGTTACCATTCTTAATAGCCCCTGCTTGGGGGTGATTCGTAAACTACATGTACGGTCGCCGAAAGCTTACGCAAGCATGTTGTGTCCACTGTGGACGCAACAGGCATACTGTACATGTACACTGTACATGAACAGTGTCCCAGGGAACCCATCCTGCACGTTATCTTCGCCAACGGGTGTTAGCTGAACACGATTTATACTATTAAAGTGGAAGAATAATAGGAACGTGTAAGTTCTGCTTTGGATCTGGTCAGTGCCTGAGAGCTCAGGCAAGTAAGTTAAGGTATTCATAACCGTTTCCTTCGGAAGGATTCCTACTCGCCCCAGTACAAACAGTTCAGCTTGGGTGTGTCTGGCCATACATGTTTATTTTCGTGAGGCAGCGTCTGGATTTTCAGCCGGTGAAATCCGTGCATACTTTCTAAACCTACTTGTTTTTTTTCGTATCGGTACTGGCGGGCTTCGTTTATTGAAACCTTTTTGCTTTCCAAAATAGATGCTTTATCAAAACCGGTGCTATCGTCTCTGGGAGGTATGGGATATATCGCTTTGATATTCCAGGTTTTACAGCCTGCACGATGGGGTGGGACATCGAAAAGCAGTTTACGTCGGTGATAATTTGCCAGTTCGCAATTGACGCTGTTCCGCCCTCAACCTGACTACGATGTGCCCGCTCCGCTACATTCTGCTGCTGCTTTCGCTGCTGGTGGCCATGATTGGCCTGTCACAAGCTATGACGGACCAGGAGGTCTCGGCACTCACAGAGGACGGAGAGGAGGAGAAGAGTGGCAAGGGCAAGAAGCAGCCGTCGACCTTCCGGACTCTCGTCGACATGCTCAACGGCAAGTACCTGTACGACGCATACAAAGTCAGCCGGGGAACGGCGGCTATTAAGGCTGACTGAACAAGTTGAGCAAGCGGCACAGTCCATCCAACCACGATCTTGAGACAGAAGGACATGACGGGGCCGGAGCTCACAGAATAGATGACTTTTATGTAAAGATATGCGTTCAAGAAATGAGTGAATGTACGCGTGGCTTGGAGAAGGCTGAAGTGATAGAGCAGTAGTGCAGTGCGCTAATGTCGTAGCGAGAATAAGAATTCCCAAGGTGGTTGACGTATACATTCTTCTCTTGTACCCGTTCGTCTATGATGGTCGCTGACAGACGTTGCCCGAGTTCATGACGAGCGGTTCACTGGCCGACTTCTCTGTCAGGGGCATAATCTCCTCGTCCTTCCGCATGGCTTGGCGCTGCGGGTCTGTGAGCTTCACCTCGAAGCGCGGTGCAACATCCCCCTCTTCCTGCTTGGCACGACCCTGCACAATGTTGTGCAGCAACATACCCTCGGCCTCGTCGATGCCCTTGACCAGCTCGTCCAGCTGCTCCTTGTCGGTCACCTGACTGTTGACCATAAAGTTGTCGCGGAGTGCCACATGCGCCTGCTGCATCGCGAATGCATCGCCACGGAACGCCTGGCGACTCGCCCGCAACAAGCGGCGGTAACCTCCAAGTACTTGCACGCGGACGCTCATGACCATTTCTGCGGACAGGAATTATTGCCCATTCAACATCATACAATACATGTACGCCATATGACAAGTATTTCTGCAGCTATGTACAAACACACAAACTACAGATTTTGATTGCCGCATGGCAATGACGCAATGCTCATTCGGAATCTAGCTCGGACCCAGTTAAGAGGATGGACGCGCTATTGGCTCTAGTGGACGGGGATTTCCGCGTGCTGCTGGGCATCGCGCTGGTGGCAGGCACGACGATCCTGATGCTACTCGCGAATCTCAAGCCACGTGACATGACGCCCGTGACGTTGCAGGCTCCCGCGAAGCCGGGAGACTTGCCCCCTACCGTGCATCTGCCACTGGTCGAAAAGCATTCGCTATCGCACGACACGCGTCGCTTTCGCTTCGCTCTCCCGTCTCCGCAACACATTTTGGGACTACCTGTGGGTCAGCACATCTCTCTACGCTTCAAGGACAACGAGGGCAAACTGGTGATGCGTTCGTACACGCCAGTAAGTTCGGATGACACCAAGGGCTACGTTGACCTAGTGATTAAGGTTTACTTCAAAAACGTGCATCCGAAGTTCCCAGATGGAGGCAAGATGAGTCAGCACCTTGAGAGCTTGGCTGTTGGCGACACGATTGAGGTGTCCGGCCCTAAGGGCAAGCTCTCATACATGGGCAAGGGCGAGATCCACATCAGACACCGCGTGCGTGACGTGGTGCCCGAGGTTCGTAAAGCTACAAAGATCGGTATGATTGCCGGTGGTACCGGTATTACCCCCATGTTGCAAGTGATTCGTCGAGCGCTGCAGGATCCCGAGGACAAGACGGAGTTCTACTTGCTCTTCGCCAATCAAACCGAGGCCGACATTCTGTGCCGCGAGGAGATCGAAGGTATGGCTGCCAACCACACCAACGTCAAGTTCTGGTACACTGTAGACAAGGCCACGGATGGTTGGAAGTACTCGACGGGCTTCGTGACGGCTGATATGATCAAGAAGCACCTGCCTGCTGCAGCTCCGGATGTCCAGATCTTCATGTGCGGACCTCCGCCGATGCTCAAGTTCGCAGTGCTCCCAGCGCTCGAGGAGCTGGGATTTAAACCAGATCAGCATTTCAGTTTCTAATTTCAGTTTCCAAATGTACGTTTTTAGATACGCTAGAAGCAGATAATGAAGGAATACAGAAATGTGAAGACAACAGATTTGAAATTCGTCGAGTGTTTATTTCTTCCTCGGGGGTAATGTGCGTTGTGTAGGTGGCCCTCTGGATGAACTATCGACCTGGTTTGTGGCACTACCGTTGATACTAGCGACGACAGCGCTACCTTCTTCGTCGGATGAATCGTTACCACTTTCTTTGAACTTCTTCTTAAGCACGCGCTTCTTCTTATCTTGGGCCATGATCACTTGAGAAGACGCTCGTTTGACACGATCGCGACTCAAAGCTTCTTCAGTGTCGTCCAGTAACATGCCTCCATTTGCACCCATATCGTCCATCTCTAGTTCCTCTGCAGTGAGACCATCGGTGCCTGGTAACGCGATACGTTGATTGTATGGTCGAGCGACGAGAACATCTGCATCCAGCCCCAGTCCTTCAGGAATGAGACTACCTGTTGCCATCGCATTCTTCAACGCTGCCACGGGTACACGTGTGCTGTCAATCTTCTTGTGTTGTATAGCTGACAGCTCCATCGACGACGTAGATGCAGCTCCTGCGAGCTTGATCTGACTTAGCAAATGTGCCAAAGTGATCTCACTCTCCTGCAAGGCCTCCACAATAGTGTCGTCTGTAACGACGACAACTTGATCGTCTTCACGGACGCTCTCCATCTTGTCCACGAGATGTTCGACGCCAGCCTTGACACCAATCAGCACCTTAGCCAACCGCTCGTATTTGAGTTTAGCACGCTCTAATTTCGTGCTCGCCAAGACCAAATTCTGCTCGTGATCGTCCACGAGTTTCCGTCTGTGACCACCACCTGATCCGCTGTACTTGAGTTCCTCGACACGAGCCTTAAGCACTGAATGTTCTGCTTGCAGTCGCTCCAGTCGCGCTTGATTCTCCTTTGATAAGTTCAACAAGTTGTCGGTAGTGCTCTCCTGGCTGGTGATCTTCTGGATGACTTCGTTCACATCACTGACACCTGTGGCTTCCTTGATCTTGCGGAAGGCGCTCTCAAAGATGTCGATCTTACTGCGATGCTCCTTCTTCTCCTCACCTACAACGCCCTGTTGTATCATAGTCGACATCAACGAGGCCTTCAGCTGACTCTCACCTTCGTAACTCAAGTCTACGGAACCTCGTGCGATGACTGAGCTTTTGTGTTTCTCTCGTTTGTCCACTCGGTTGACCATTTCCAGACGAATCTTCACGTACTGCTGCTTCTCTCGAAGTTCCTTCTCGCGATGTCGCTTCTCGTCTTCGTGTTGACTTCGTGCCTTCTCCAGCTCCAGCAGGATCGTTTCACGCGCATGAGCGGCGTCTGCTGAGAGCAACACAAGTTCATCGTAGTCATGTTGCTTGGCTGCTAGAGCGCGCTCAATAGCAGCCAGTTGGTTGTCGAACCCGATGCGTTCATCTTTGAGTCGCTTGACGATCTGCTCGTACGTTTTCCGAATACTCTGAGCCTCGTTGAACTTGATCATGGCCTTGTCCAGGCGATTCTCCAGCATCCGGATCTTGCGCGTCTCCGGTGTATCTTCAAGACTTGGTTTCTTGGACTCCAGCTCGAGGTCTTTTACTTCGTCTTTTAACTCCTCCAGTAACGCTGTTTGTGACTGCACACGATGCCTCAGATCGTCGTGCTGTTTGCGAACTTTGTTCACCTGCTGCGTTGCCGACGCGATCTCATCCGAGTCATCTGTCATCCCAATTAATGCTGATAGTCCTAAGCCCTGTGAACCAACAGCACCTGCCGAAGAAGACCGCTTCATGTCGGCGAGAGCTTTACGCAGATCCCGGTTCTCATTTTTCAGTTGGCGAATGTAATCCTTGTTGGTTTGCTTGCTGGACTCGAGTACGTCGATGTTGCTTTTCCTATCCACCTCTGCATACAAGACGAAATATTGCAATGGTAAGTCAAGAGGCCACAACTTTTAACTATTGTTGTTGAAGTGGCTCGTACGCAGGAGTCGCATCTTGTCACGAAGATCTTCTACCTGCTCCTCCATGCGGCTGTCGTAATCCTGCTCCATACGTCGGAGCACATTCTCCTGTCGGGCCTGCATCGTTGCAGGCGTCAAGCGCACCGCTGCTAGTTCACCTCGGAAGTATCACGTGATTGTAACCACAGTTCATCAGTAGGGGTACCGTGGCTTACGTCGCTTCACGCAGCACGTCAAAAATAAAATAAAAAACTCGAAACCACTACGGCACAATGATGCATTCCACGCCAAAGTTATCTCAATATACAATACACCTGAGTCCACACACACATTTTCGAACCCAAGAAGAAAAGCATCGTCACGACAACTTCACACAAGAGATCGTTCCCATCAGGAGCACCGCAAACACTTCAACTCGGGCAAGATCTCTGCACATAAAATCGTTAGTAGATTTTGTGTAAGACAATGATAAGGTGTCACACCTCTCAAGACGTCAATGTGGCCTTGTGACAACGAGCACCCGTAGACGGACAAAGACTGTAATTCCTTCAATGCTACGCGAGTTACGAAATCAGTGTCTGTCAACACTTGGCCACCAAAACAAGGCTAACACAAACTAACGAGATAGATGACGAAGTGAGAGCGCCGAGATCCCCGTGTTGGACAGATTCAGGCATCGCAGACTTGTAAGCGACCGCAGATAAAACAGAGACTTGGTCCGGATATTTCTGTTCGAATTGCCGGTACGGTGTGAGAGCAAACGGTGACCAAAGCCCAGCGCACTTACCTGTTTTGACTCAGATTTAGAGACGTCAGCGACGTCAATTTCGAGATGAGTCCCACCCCGCGGTCACCGATGTTGCCTCCACATATCGCCAATTCCTGGAGTTTGTGCAATGGAATGAGGTGCATGAGCCCATTATCTGTGATGCTGCAAACACCACCCCACCGAAAAGGTCGTTAGAACGAGTCATCACCCGGCTAATCCTAGCTACACCACTCACTTTGCGCCAAACAGGTCCAGTCTTTCAAGTTGCGGAAGAAACGACAAGTTCGCCAACGCTCTGTTGGTGATGCCCGACGTATCCAGGCCAAGAATACGCAGCTCCTTGAGTTTAGTCAGTCCTGTTGTCCCGCTATCGCTGATCTCAGTGTTGGAAACGTTAAGTGCCTTCAGATTTATCGCATTATTGCAGATTTCCAGCAGTCTAGAGTCAGTGAGGGCGGTCTCTGCCACCTCGAGGCGTTCAAGGTGTTTTAGTCGGCTAATAAATTGAAATCCTCTGTGGTAAAGCAAACAAACACACGTTAGCTAGAACATTCCAGCGCTTTGTAGGTTTTCGAAATTACCTCTTCATAATTCGACACTTGCGGAGCTCCAGTTCTTGCAGCTTGGTCAGATACTGTAAGACCGCTGCATCTGACTCAGCAAAAGCAGTGTATCCAAGCAGGAGAACCTCGAGCTGCGTCCACTCCGTTGGGATGGAATGGATCTTGCCACAGTGGCGTGCATCGAAATACTTGAGATTCGTCAGCTCAGCAAGCGACGCCATGCCGACGTCAGAAATGTCTTGACAGCCACGGATCACCAGGACTTCCAAGCTCTTGACCTGTCCAATATGTTGCATCGCCCTCTCACTGTTTCGCCATCATTGCCGTCGTCAACAGCGTTTCCTAGCCACGTCCCAGAACAAGACTTACCTCAACCGACAATTTGAAACATCCAGCTCCCGCAGCTTCGGGAACGAGTCCACAAATCCACCGAACGCGTCGTCCGTTAGTTTTCTACAGCGCCCTAGACGCAGTTTTTCCAGTTTTGTCAGCTTAAAAAGTCGCTTGACCCCTTTATCCGTCAACCTGCGGCAGCCAACCTGTGTATTTCGTCCAGTAAACAACCAATCAACTCCAAAACATGTACAGTCCATAGATTTTCCCAACCAGTTGCAGCGATTTCAGGTGTTCCAGCTGGCGAAGCGACTTCACGCACTTGTCATCCACATTAGCACAGCCAGAAAGATTGAGCGTCGTCAACTTCGTCGACAGCTTGAGCATCTCGATCGTTTCCTTCGACAGTCCTGTGCATCCCTGGAATGACGCCACTAGCAGCTCGGGCAGTCTGTTCACATGTCGCCCCCATTCGGATCCCAGCTGCTGCAGATGAATACACCCCGAGACATCGATACTCTTCACACTTTCGAGCGTTTTCTCTGGGATATCATCGAACCACGAGTCCTCTACGTCCTGGTGGTCTGCCAAGTTCCACTCTAGCAATAAGAGCGGCGTTAAAGCCTGGAACTGCGGTTTGTCCAGCACATAGTGCTGTTTAAGCCATTGTAACACACTCAGGGCCAATTCAGGCGGTAGAACTCCAGCTCGTAGTGCATCTTGATGGTCTACTAATAGTTGGGCACTAAGACTGCGTACACTGAGCTCCAACAGAGAAAGATGGGCGAATCTACCCCTTGGAGTCTTACGCCAATGCTCACCTACGTAAGGAGCAATGGCTTTTGTGTGCTGTCCGTTTTGTTTGTTGTGCGATTTCTTGTCGTGACTCTTGCTTCTGCTTTTAATACGTGTGTTGCGGGTGCCAGTCTTGGGTTTAGAGACGAATGGGAAGGGGAAGGCGACGTAGTTAGCTAGTGAGGAGGAAGAGTCGGAAGTCGACGCAGTCAGAGGTGCAGGCACGTAGAACTGGTTGTAGTTGGCGCTCATAGCGGAGGCTGACACGCGGGGCAATGACAGCAACGGGTCGTCCAAGTGCTGGCACCTGCAGCACGAGCCGCCCATTAGCCGTAGGATTCTGTCAGAGTGAATGCGGGCTCAGGAGAACAGGGTTGGCAGCTTCAACAAGACGCGACGACTTCAACAAGGGTATGCTGTTAAACAATGTCTGATGCAAAGTAGGTTATAAAATAAACAAGGGCGCGAAACTAGAAAAAGAGGGATGTTGGAGCGGCGCGTGTGGAATAGTATCAAGTGTAGCAGTGTGTCGCTTCGTGTCTTTGACTCATCTTCAGAAAAGTATGTTCCTGAATAAGTGCGAACTCCGACCTAGCGGCATTTTCAGTATTGACAGTCAACTGCTTCAAGATGATGGCGTCTCAAGCTCCGGGTTCTCCTACGCTGCAGCGCGTGGCCACACCCTTCGGCTACGGATCTCTGCACGACGATGAGCCACAGAGTGCGTCACCCGAGGATGCAAGCCCCAATGCGCGCCGGAGATTCGCACACGTCGAGTTTCCATGGGGACATGCCTATGTCCACTCGGACCTGGTAGCTGCGGTGCCGCTCTTCACATTCTACGCGCTGTCTAAGACGCAGCACATCAAATTCACGCTGCCGTTTGCGCTGACGAGCTCTGGACAGGAAATGGTGGACGCTGTGCGTCGTCAGCTCGAACTGGAGCCTAATATCGCTGTGTCACTCGTGCAGACCGATAGTGTGAGCAAACATGAGATCCAGTCACACCTTAAGCTCGGCGAATGCACCATTGGAGCGGGGCCTGAGCACCCAGTACTAGTGCTACAGACCCCCATAGTGCAGTTCGACAAGAAGAAATGCTCGTTCTACATGCTGCTTCAAGAGGACAACACACGTGCAGTGCAGGTAGCCAAAGGCTGCGGCTCTGTGCTGGGCAACTGTGACGTGGCATGTGGCATCAAGTACTGGGAAGTGAAGCTGCAGAGTGCTAGAGGTGGAGAAGGAGTGTTTGTTGGTGTGGCGGCTGCAGATCTCGCTCTCAACAGTAGTGTTGTGAGTCGCGGTGTGTTCTGGGGCATCTCATGCGCTACTGGACACAAGCTCCACGACACAATCGAGTACTATGCTGACCCATGCAAGGACGGAGATGTCGTCGGCGTGCTGCTCGATATGGAGTATGGCCGACTGAGCTTCTACGTGAACGGACGGAATCTAGGCGTCGCGTTCTGCGGCATCCAAGTCAAGAAGTTGTGTCCCGTGTTCTCCCTGACCTTCATCGGGCAAAACATTAAGCTGCTACCGACAGCATCGCCCCCGATGCCGTAGCATAGAAAAGTTCCGGCGATTGTTTCACTAAATTCATTGCAAAAAACGGTCTTAAGTAGTCGGCCCATACCGGTACCCAACACTTAAATAAAAATAATTACCAAGCTGCAAGGCACTCAGCAATACAATATGTAAAACGATAAATCATTCCGGTGTTGAAGGTTGAAGTGCGTTTATCTTTCAAGAACAATGGCTAAATTCATTTTAACGTGCTTTTACTCGTTCCCATCGGGCCCCATGACTCCCTCGCTGCTTGCGAGGTTGCATTGGCGGAACAATCGTTTCTCTTCGGGACCAAACGCACCCACTACCGAGTGAATGACTCCTTGGTTATTGAAGAGCACCAGATCTCCTTCTTCCCAGTCGTGTGCGTAGACGTACTTCGGAGCGATCGCTGGGCGCTGCAAGCGATACACCAACTCACGTGCTTGTTCCAGATCGGTCATCTTGCCCCCATTAGGTAGGTGAACAGCACGGACGGCACTCGGGTGGATCTGAAGTGCGAGCTTACCGGTCACTGGATTCTTCCAGCACATGGGTAGGATCTTAATATCTTTCGTGTCAATGGGTGGGAGCTGGTCCAAAGGCAGCTCAAGCCCCTCAGGCACCATACCGAGGCCATCCGAACGTGAACGCGCAGGCGATATCCACACATACGGGTGCGGCGCATATTCAACCTTTGCACCACGAACGAACTCCTTGTCTTCTTCAGACAAAAGTTCGTACATTGCTTGACCCGAAACGAATGCAGTCGTACCCAAAGCGACACCCAATTCGTCGCCTGTTCCGTCGTCGTAGCGGAGAGTTTGGCGACGGCCAACAGGCACCTTCACTGCCAAAAGGGAAGTCACTTTGGGTGGGTTCAATTTGTACAGCGCGGCATCAATGTGCCAGCGATAGAACCGCGTGAAGTTGAGGTCGTCTTTCTCTGGAATGGCTGTCTTGTGAAACATCTTGTGGTGCGGGTGTTTAAGCGTGAAGTTCTTTAGACCTTCGTACTCGTCGTAGTGTCCATGTCCTATGATCTGGACTTGCGGCTGATGCGGGACTGTCTTCAGATCCGAGTGCAGCACGGATTTCTTGACATCGAGCGTCTTGCCATGGCCATACGTCGATGCGTCTGGATCGAATCGTCTGGTTAGCTCGTATTGCGCTCGAGAAGAGACGCCCTGTTGATTCTTCAATACAACAACGTGTGAGTTGTACAAAGCATTACGGATGATGGCGAAGTCCTTGTCTGTGAGGTTGTCGAGATCGACGTTGGTGATGGCAGCCCCAAAATCAACAGCGGATTCCTGAGGAGCTTGGATCGGGTTCACTTGAATACGTTGCACAGTCATGTGGATCTGGTTGAGACGTCGCTTGAGTGGTTGGAGATAAATTGCAGAGTGATCCGTATGAGAAAGCACTCAACCGACGGAGGTCGTTTCCGAGCTGCGCAAGGTGCCGGACGCACTGAATGAATGCGCGACGCGCTGCGCGTCACTCAAATTGCATTCACATTCTAGTGGTGTCAGTATGACATGGATGAATAAAGTGATCTTTCAAACAGATATAACATAGGTACTCCTTATATTAGCCAATCATATCTCTGATAGATCTAATTCTCTGTGTTTTCTAAGCGAGTTGACAACATAAGGGCTAGGTTTGTCGTTATGTCGCAAAACAAAATGATACTTACGAACCCAAGTACGAATCTGCTGGTTGAATCGGGCACATCCGACACTGAAAGCCTTGGAAAACTCCCCATCACCCGACCATGCATCGATCGTAGTGGGTGTTGGGAGCCAGACGTCGTCCTGGGAGTCTTCTCGGGGCGGCTCAGACTCGCTGCTGTCGCTCTCGTGGATCTCGCGCGCGGCAGCCCCAGTAACCGGCCTCTCCTGGACGGCGCAGACGCGGAGATACATTCCCCCTCGCGATCGTTCCCCCGTTCTCCTGGACAAACGGTATTCACGGTATACACGCTTTACATCCTACGGATGGGAGCATTTGAAGGGGAAGGTTAACTCAGTCGGGCAATATAGCCACTCTCATCGCGATTAAACCCCTTGAGCCCAAAGGATTTCCAGTGCACTCATTTACTGAAACCCTTGCACTGTTAGCTTGTTTCTCCAGGGAAGGGTTACCATACTGCAGCTAGTATGTTTGAGTATCCTGTATTTAGAAAGCCTCACAGATTCCCAGCCCACAAGATGGAGAAATAATGATAGCCTGTACAATACAAGATCGATCTCCTCAGATACGCAGGATACTGTGGTAAAGCGTACTTAGACGTTCAAAACCATGCGAAGTCAGTGCGAAAGCTGGGCGCAGCCGGAGGCAGATGATTTCAAAACAAAAACTTCACCAGCAGCTGCCAAACTAAACAGAATGCATTATACTCAAGCTAAGGTATGTAGACTAAATCTAGTTGCTGCTCAAAGAGTCGTTTCTACCCGCTGACGCTTGTCCGGCTCGTCATCTGCAGTCGTGTCATCACTTGCTGATCTCGCTTCAGTAGTGGAAACGGCCCCAGGTGTGCGCCCCCATATACTCTCTTCTTCGCTATCGACGGAGACAGGCTGGTTCCATTCCTCCACTTTGTGTGCCATAAATCGAAGCATGAAAGCTCCTTACCATCGACTTTGTGCTTGATCTTGTTGCAGAGATACACACGCGACGCTATAGCCGTCTTTGAGGACGTAGGGAGTCGGCAGAGCTTACAATAGTAGGACGTCTCACCGCCTTTAGCTCCATTCGCTCTCTTCATCTTAGAGCACACCTTACAGGTACGTTGACGACGCTTTCACCCTTGGCCATTGTTGCCATCCCTCCACTCATCAGCCTGAAGGAGCTCGTGTAGATGCTGTGCAGGAGCTCCCAGCTTTCTCGGCTTGGTTGGCGTCTGCTGTGTGAAGCGGATTCCATCCCAGTCCTCTCCATGCAGCTGCACTAACTCCAAGTGTAGTTGTTTGAGAAACTTGATGTGACATACTTTTCTTTTGCCTTCAGCTACTCGACGCTGGTTGTATACTATCAAGGCGTTCACGATTGCCAGATCGATGAACCCAAGGAAAAGACCCTTGTAGTACTTCTTGTATTTCAGAGAAAGCTGGAGTGAATATCTATGTAGCACTTAACATACAGGTTAATTTTTTTTGGATATCTGGTACATACAAACACAGCCATTTGCTTTGGAAGACGGAGTTGATCATGGACATCAACTCCGCCCATGAACGTCTGGTAATCCTTCAGGATTCTTGGGCACGCTACTTCGGCTTGCTCACCCGACTTCTCTCTCCTTCCCACGCGGTCTTGCTGAATGCTACCTCCAGACGAGAATGAAATCCAACACTGGATATGTTTGAAACACACAGCTACGTGTATTCATCAAGTTTAAGCTATTGTGTACCTTCAGCGCCACTTGAGTTGGTGGAGCAACGTCGTCTCCTGTTTGATCTTCAGTAGTGCTTGGTACAGCCATCTTGTTCTCCATCTCCTCCCCTTGTGCAGCTTGAGTTTTCGTTTGAACAGGATGTAGATTTCACGTTAATAGGTATTAGAATAACTCGAGCCTACGCCATGGTAACGACGCCTCGCTCATGTCCAGGGGAGGTCGGAAGTAACTTGGCGAATGAACATCCATGCGACGAACACTCCACAGATATACCTGTCAATTTAAATATGGTTATTCTGATAGAGCGAGCTTTGACGCTCGCTCTATCAGAGGCTTCTGTGTCGTCCGCAGAGACATCACTTCCGGCGACCACGGCTTCTTCAGCCCCCTCCACGTCTTCACTGCCGGTCCCGTCTTCACAATCGCCCGAAATCTCTGATTCCTCACCGCCAGTTATCTCCGTCTGCATTGCTGACAGCCCTGGGCTACGACGCGGGGGCGAAGACACTTGCCTACCACCAGACACATCCCATACATACGTTGATCCTCCTGCGCTCGTCCCACCGCTGCTGCTGCCGGCCCGGTCACTGCCGGCGCGGTAGCTTCTGGCGCTGTCGCCTCCGCCGCTTGAAACACGTTTCATCCTCGACCTCGAAATTAAAATGAGAACCCATTTCTCCCTCGATCGGAAATAAGAAAGTCGGAATTAGAAGGGTTGGAGAGTAATTTTAAATTGCATAATCCTGGATGCATACATGATTCAATCCTGTACATTACCATGATTATAATCCTGGCCAGCAACGGTTCCGAATAATAAATACAACTGTTTTGCTGTTAAAATATTAATAATTTATCGGAGAGTGAGGTAATGCCAAATCGTAGTACATGTACAACAGAAGCTGGCCGTAAGAAAAACGCTATGTTAATAAACGCTGTCACTTGATCCATAAAGAAAGCTCGTTTTAGATTGAACAACATTAACTCATATGTGATACTGCTGTAAACCATTGTTTTCTTGGAGTTGTTTAGACAGCAAAATCCGATACTACTTAACTGGCGGACGTGTCGCCGACGGGGGCGTTGGATACGATTTATAATGAAGCGGCAATATAAAAACAAAACATGAGAGGTGTTAATTATAGTTGGCTAAGTAGATAGTTTTAGATTGAGCAAAAAGAACTCAAACGTGGTACTGCTGTAAACCAGAGTTGTTTAGACAGCAAAATCCGGTACTACATAACGGGTGGACGTGTTGCCGACAAGAGCATAGGATACGATTTTGAATGGAGCGGTAAGACAGCAGCAAAACGAGAGGTGATTATGGTTGGTTAAGTAGATTTTATAAATAAACGTTTGTATACTTGGAGCCTAAATGACATTTAATAATCCTGGAATCATCGCTAAGGCCCGTTCCCAACCGAAGTGCACGCTTGCGTATTCGGACACTTTCCAATTCGATTGGCTACTTTTTTGTTGCAAAAATAGTACCCAAAACGCATGCGTTCAAAAAAATATGATTTGAAAACGTATTTTGACCAATTATTACCGTTTGTTCTGAACACTCGCATTGTATCCGCTGAATTTTTACTATGAGCCCAGTCCCAAAGCAATCTTCCCCGTTCTCCACGCATAAGCGATGTATCCCTCTGCGCGTCGGCGGCGTGGCTGGAAAGCGGAAGACGAGTTGTCTGGATTGCTAATCTGCTTGGTCATCTTTAAACGACTTATAGGCAGAAAGAAGGATCCCGTTGTCCGCGACAGAATCTCCTGGAAAGCATGCCACAACTCTTTTGAAAGAGTCAGCGTTCAAGAAGTATTACCGGATGGATCTTTCGACATTTCAAGACCTTTTGTGTATTTTGGGACCATATCTAGTGGTCGACTTTTATCAATCTCTTCGCCGTTCTCGAGGTATATCCCCGCTTACACCAGCTGCAATGCTGCAGTGTGCACTATCGTGGCTAGCGGGTGGTAGCTATCATCATATTCGTGTGATTACTGGAATTCGTAAGTCTACGTTTTTTCGTGCTGTTTATCGTGTGATGTACGCAATTAATGACGCTGATAAGCTCGCACCTCGTTTTCCGAGAGCACCAGATGCATTGGAAGAAGCCGCAGCTGCATTTCGGTCTTGCAGTAACTAGGGAGTGATTGAGCATTGCATTGGTGCTATTGACGGATGGCTATGTCCAATCCGTGTACCTCGCTACGATGAATGTGGACGTACTTTTTTTTCGGGTCATTATCAGAAGTATGGATTAAACGTTCAAGCATGTGCTGATTCGCTATGTCGTTTTACCGCATTTTCAGTTAATTCACCTGGTGGTACGAACGATTCATATGCATTTCAAAAGTGGAAACTAAGCCAAATGCTTCAAGAAATTTCTGGGCCGTACTTCGTTATCGGAGATAATGCCTATGTCCAAAGCAGACGCGTGATAACCCCAATTAACAAGGCACAGCTTGACGATCGGCCTGAACGTGATAGCTACAGTTTTCATGTTAGCCAGCTTCAAATTCGAGTGAAGATGGCGTTTGGTCTACTAGTGAATACCTGGAGAATTTTAAAGCAGCCACTGCTGGTTAGTCTTCGACATTGTCGTATTCTAGTTTCGGCATGTTTCCGTTTGCATAATTTTTGTATAACGCAACGTTGTCAGTCCACCAAGTCATCTCCAGATCAACTTGTACAGTCGTTTTTACGAGAGGTTCGTACATGGACTGGTGAAAGATCTCTTGAGTATGAACGGTGTGATGTGGAGCTCGAGAATGGCAGTCACGTAGACGTAATGGATGAAAAGGTTCGCTCAGACCTCGTTCGGTACTTGGCAAGCAAAAATTTGCTCCGCCCCGAGTGAAATGAACAAGAAACCAACCAGAGGAGAACTTCCAAAAGGCGACTGATGCCGTTGAACAAGGATCTGACGCTCATGAGGCATCTACAGTAGCCCCAGCTCTCGGAAGCTCAGTTACAGGTGACATTGTTCAGTGGCAGTTGGTGTAGTCCAATGTTTCGATGATGTGATGGATGTTGCAGGTGTCCGTGTTGATACGGCCGTCGAGGCGGCGGAGGCCCAAGAAGCAGTACACGACTTTGTCAACGCTGAATTTCAATTAGAGAATCAAGATATGCTAGGTCACCATCAAAATTATCGAGTGAAGAGCATTTTTTAAATTTGCATTAGTATAACTACGAAAACATGTATTTTCTTCTTGGGTGGAGAGGAAAATATCACCTTGCATGCACGATGCATGTACGTCCATCTTGAAATGTATTATCGGATTCATAATTTAATTACGAACGATGAAGTGCAATTCAGGGCGATTACAGATTTTGAGTGCGTACTGCATCCATGATTCTCTGACGTTCTTCAAAGAAAAAGTCTAAATCAACTTGAAGACGGTGCTTTTTTGGACTTGCCGCTGAGCTCATTTCGCATTCGATTTTATCGATGCGCTTGCGGATATCTTGTAGTCCTCAGAACGCACTCGGACAGCAGCCTCTTGATCCTGTTCTCTTGCAAGTGTGATTTCAGGCTCCCTCGCGCGGCTGCAATTCTACCAACGAGCGTTACCAGCACCTCCATTGAGTCGGAATCAGCTTTGTACTTCTTGTTGGGAGTTCGTCTGCTTGGAAGGCTCTCGCGTGGCCTCTTTTTCGTTGAACTGGGTTTGCTTGGGGTTGCATTTCGGCGCTCACGTGTCGGAGTTGACGATGAAAGTGAATCGAATTCGTCCTCCTCATACATTCCGCCACGGGCACTGCTAAGAGCCTCGGGTCGCTTCTGATAATTCAATAACAATTTTATTAGATTGCATGCTTGCCACTCCCATTCTATAGACTTACCTTCAGCCAGTACCATAAATACAGTACGTCCATTTTGCCATGCACAAACTGCTTGAACTACTGTTCGTGAGTCCAGATAAACGGAAATTTGCCGCGCAAATGCTAAAAAACGAAGTCAGTTCTTTCCAAAGCTCCTCCAGCTTAGCTGGGTTGTGGGGAACAATGACGCCAGGATAAATACCTTCAAAGGCAGGATCATCTTCGATAAGCCCTCCAAAGACCTCACAATTTGAGTGATACGCTAGCCACGTCGCGTTAAAAATGAGATTTCGCTGAAGACTGAACGTCATCCAAGTCAGTTCGATCAAAGCTTCTTCCTGCGTATTTTTAATAATGATTTTGTTCGTCGCTGCAGTAGTTGCAATATGGCTTGCGTCACCTGTAGCTTCAACAAGCCTCATGAACAAGTTATCGGATAGCACAACATTAGCTAAACGAAACGTGCAGTGCTTCGTTCGCCGTGTTCCCCCCGCAGCCATTGTTGAAGCTGCCGAAGCACTTTGTCCGCTGTTCATTAGCTCGTCGTAGCGCCGAAGACACCTGATCCTATCCGCCTTGTTTGTTCCAGTGTTGAGTTTGATTTCACGTAAACTACACTCTTTCCGTATGAGATCTTGCGACTTGTTTCTTTTCGTACGGCTCCCAGGCGAAATGCCCCTCCATTATACCACCGCTGCAACTAGGAAAGACTGTCTCCGGAACACGTGCAGCAGATAGAACATCTTCTTGCACATCAATATCTCATTGTCTATGGGGAGAAGCAGTAGCACCTCGGCGGTCAACGTTTGGTGATGGGGTTGCAGCGTTAACCAGCTCAGGGTCGAGACGTCGAGCAATGGGGACGTCTGGCTCCATAGTTCGGTGGGTTTCTCCTTCTTTGCTGTGATTCGCAGTGTCGTCCACTTGGATTGGTTATTATCACGTAAAATCTATCCAATCAGAATGTTTTATGATTTTTGAATTCCATTTCCAACCAAAGTGTAGGGTTAGGGAACGCGTGGAACGCATGCTTCAGAGAGATACTTCGGTTGGGAACGGGCCTAAACTATCAAATAAAAAATATCAATGTTAGAGTCACAAAACGATTTTGTGCCTTCGTATTTAAGTGCATATACGTGTCACCATTTTCCGTTGTGTACCTACGACACAGGCACAATGTCACACAATGGAAATAAAATACCGAATAGATTTCAAAACTTTCATCATTTGTAGACATTTGAGAGCGCGAGCATATGTTTGTGCAAACATTCGATGCTGGCGCAATGTGTCGTAAAAGGCTTGGACTCCCTGAATGCTGCAAGAATGTCCGATCGACTTGGCGATTTTGCATGAGTGACTTCGAAACAGTCGATATTCTAGCTTTGGAAGTCGCTATGATCCTGCTACGCATGTAGGGAACCCTTGTAATATTGCCATAAAGCACATACGTCGCGGTATGAAGTGAAATAGCATAGCTATATTAAGCACTACAAACTACGATTTTGTCACCAGAAATATTCATTCCTACACATGTAGAGCCTTAAGAAGATATCTTAGTCTGAAATACCGCATCAGTGAATTTGATGCAGTCTTTGGCAGGGCGATTCCGCGCACAGAGCATTAAAAAAGAGGAGAACCAGTGGCCCGCAGTTGTGTCCGACCGTCTGCTTCGGGTGAAGCTGTCTATCACAATCCATTTTGGTCGTCATCTCTGGAAATTGGCTCTTGATGAAGGTCTCGCATTCTTCATACTGTTCCGTCTACTGCTGAAAGTCGAAAATTGTGATCTTGTTGGCCTTTGGAATATCGAGTCTGTTCAGCGACGTAGCGGCCATCCCCCCCATCGTATCAGAAACAGCAACCAATGATTTCATGGTTGCATGGTAATCCGTCACTACGCGAAGTTGTTCTTCGCTGAGTACCCCGACTTTCGGGATACGAACGCCAATTGATAAATCCGCAGCTGCTAATGATTTCCGATACGCATCCAGCGCCCGTTTACACTTCCTCGTAAACGTTTTAGTGAACACAAACTTGACAAAGCTCCGAATCCCGTCGGGTGTGATCACTTTTGCAATGGCTTGTTTTCTTGGCCCCATAATCTTCAAGGCGAACTTGGATAAAAAATCGTTGGCGGACTCGTAGCTGTATGTAGACTTTAGAACTCTTGCAACATTACTCAGCGTAATTACTGGAAGCAACGTTCCCTGCACCAACTGCTTGGCCTCATTCCGTGACACCACCATGCGTTGCTTTTTTACTTCTTGTTTCTGCTTTTTTCGTATCTTGGGCCGACCTCTGCTTTTAGTGCCTTTCGAGACGAAAAATGAGCATCCATCGCATGAACGGGAACTGGGTTGGTCGCTCCCCTAGGAAGGAGCTCTCTTTACTGGAGGAGTCGCTTGTGTCATATCAGTTTTGTCCGGTTTGTGACCTGGACATAGGGTCACATCGTCCGTGTGGCTCGACGTTAAGGCCACATCGCCCGTGTGACTTCGAGCTGAAGTCAGATCTTTGGTAAAGCTTAGGTTTGAAGTCTCTCGGTCTGCTTCATGCTGCTTGGGGCGGTTATCCTTTCTGTGAGCAGCGTCTTCGTCGATAGCGGTCGGAGGAACATGCGTGTCAGCGGAACCTTCAACCCCTGTATCATGAATTCCAGATATCTGCGAGAGTGGGTCCAATTCAGATAGGTGTTGGGGCCACACGGATGCCTGTGAAACGTAGGGTGCCTCTCCGCCTGTAACGATAACTTCGAATCGCTTGATACTTTCCAGCATCTAAGTAAGCACCACTCTTCCATTCCGACTCATGATGTCGGCAATGCGCGTTGCGACGGCATGAGAAGTTCGGAACTTACTGGTTCCGTTGAGAACTTGGTGACAAGCTGCCTTCATACTGGAATCACTCACCCGAATCGTACCACACGCGGCTTCTTCAGACTGCTCATCTTCTGAAAAATCTTCCGATAATTCCGTAATTAATAAATTAAAATCCCCACTTGATATATAACGTGGATGAAAATGGTCATCATCTATACATAGAGTAAAGATATTAATTCTGTTTTTTAATATTAAAAATATAATTTTAAAATAAATCCACGATTACTTTTAATTTCTACTAATTCGTCTTCGACCGGAATGTTTAGTGGGCATGTCAAACTCCACCGAGGATGTAGATACTTTAGTGGGATGGAACTTTTATATTTAGTAAGCGCCAGTAAATAGCGTGTCGGTTCTCATGAAAATACGCGAACAATGGTACGTCTAGAAAAAAAATATAATATACCAGTAATCACGCATTTCATACAAGTAGTGTTGACGTTCTTCCCTCCAATTCGTGCATTAGCAACACATAGATGCTACTAGTAGGGTAACGTACCTGTCTTCTTCCCCAAAAACTGCAATATAAGTTTTTGCTTAGCTCCTGCAGCTTGGAGCTCATCCACAAAGTTAATAACATCTTCATCTTGGACGCGCCGGCTAGAAGGGTGATTTCCATAAGGCCCAGACCCCAGCGCATGATTATGGGCGGTATCTTGCTGGGTAACCTTGACGTGGAAGCCCCCGACTGCGACCCATGCCACCGACACCGTCATCTGCGCTTGACACCCAGTCGATTTGACGAAGTAGTTGTGGCGCTTGCCCTTCGACCTACTCGGTCGCGACCACCTGTGGATACACACCAGCTTCCAAAGGTATTTATCAAAAGAAATGGGGATAACAGTCTCTGGCGTACCCTTCCCACGCTCTTGGAGGTCCTTGTTCCGCGTCTTGGCACTGGTTGATGTTCCTCTTGAATATCTGGTGAGTTCTTTGTTCATACGCGCTGAGGCCTTCGAAAACCGCCTCCCAGCTCTCGAACGCCTCTACCTCCATACGCGGAGCGCGGGCAACAAGGCCACTCGATGCAGGGACGTGAACCTCCGGGGATATAGCTTCAGTGGTCTATGCGTGGGGCTAGGATGCCGACGAAACGCTCGCCATGCTGCTTGTCCTGCTTTTCGCGCCTCTTTTGAAATGAGAGGCTCGCAATGAATTAGGATGGGTGAAAGGGGGAGGAGGGGGTGTTTTCAAACATTTGAAGAGGCCTGAGTTTTTGAGATTTTAGTTTCGGTAAGCTTTTTTATTTCGCACTTAGTAGGAAAATTCCTGTGTGACTTTATCCAGTTCCAATTAAAAAACACCGCCGTCAATAATAACAACAGCAAGGCGTCTTGCGACGCATTATCCAGATGCTTTGATCATAACTGGCACAAATTAGAGTGTCTAATACAGTAGCTCATTATGAATCAGCACAAAATGAACGCTAAATGTATTAAAATGAACAAAATTGAATATTGTTTTGGTTTCTCATTGAGTATGGTATGAGAGGTGATCAATCTTTAGCTACTTACAAGATTAAACAGGCAGTACAAGCGGGTAAGTAGTGCAAGCTGAACACATCTTTTGCGTTGATGTGAGCTAAGTTTCATGGCTCAGAAACGGCCCGTGGTATCGAGCACGACGCTAAAGCAAACATACTGTGTAGCGTTTGTTTAAAGGAAGTGGATAAAGTCACACAATGGGATCCACTTCGAGTCCGGTAATTTAAAATAAAACCCCGAGAAACAAAAATTCCGACAAACAGGAAAATAGAAAAACACCCCTTCCTTCCAGCTCCCCCCTCCGTCGTGTCACCCCCTCTCCCCCCTTTCACCCGCCCCCGACGATTTCCCGCCGTTCATTTCGAAACAGGACCAAATTCGACAAAATGGCGAGCGTCGCGTCGACTGGCTCGGGATCGGACGGCGAGAGTGAGCCTGCCGAGGCACGCTCTCCGGAGATACACGTCCCGGAACCGCGGAATACGTCTACGTGTGCTCCCCCGTTAGAGCAGCGCTGTTACACAACGTGGGGTGCATTTTTTATGGCGTTGGAGCAGTACCAAGAGCAGACCCACCAAGTGTTCCGTAAGCGTACCTGTACAAGTGCTGCATCTAGGAATGCTGAATTAGCGAAGCGAGGCAAGCTGACAGAGACGACAAGAATTCCTGATCCGTTCGACAAATACTACCG